TGTATTAAGATTTTACCTTTACATTTTACTTTGAATCTGAAAGTACAGTATTGACTAAAATTGGACATACCCTTGTTGTGGAAACATCCTACTTCAATCCCTCCTATGAATTGTTTCATCCAGTGCTGCTACTGAATGAAAGAAAGGCACTCTGGAGACTAATGATGGTAATGCTGTATCTCATCTACGTTATAGTTATATTAGTTATTAACTACAAATGCAAATGCTTAGGCCAATACTAAAAAGAACTGAGCCAGAACTAAAAGCTAGTATGTGCTTGGCATGACAATATTCCTTTGCTAGCTTTGCAAAAAAAGAGATGTACTTGATTCTTACATTTTCCTCCACTTGCCAGTTTAAAAATAGTGTTCACTGCTTATCCTTTAAACTGGCAACTAGTTGTCTTTTTGTTAACAAGCAAGGCATTCTTAGCATCACAGTGATAGGGACTTGCCTCCCTTCACAGGAGGAAAGAGGTAAAGGCTATTTGATATAATTTGTAGGAACCCAAACATCTCCCAGCATAATAGCTTCTCTGTCAGTGAATAAAAAGATACAATCCTGCAAACTTACTTCTTTTCTACATATACAGTTATAAAAATTAGTCTTACAGGAAGTAAGCAAACTACCCTATCTCACACATCACTCCCCTAACGTACTCTAGAAACCATTTCAGCAATAAACTGCCAACAATGAACACTTGATATGAAATGGGACAGAATAAATCTAATAAAGAAAAGTACCATAAATTTTACAAAAGTTTTGGTTTATAAACCTTGTAATATTCTATAAACAATTCAGAATGAATTGAATGCAGAGATATGAAATTAACAATGTTATAAATTCTGTAACTGTAAATGTTTTCACACTGAAAAGAATTGTTTCCGAGTACTCTGAGATGGCCACATTTTTCTGGCTGTCAGGTAAATATTATGAATGCCAGTTGTACAGCACATAGAAAATAGCACCTCTCAGCAATAATTACACAACCCATCTGTATTGTCTTTAGGGAATTTAAAATGATGTCATATACATCCTTTACAAATGCTTTAAGCATCCCACAAAATCAGAAGAAGAGAACACAAAGAAAAACACATTCAAAAATTGCTACAGCACGTAGAAATCACAGGTTAAAAATAATGCTTTGTTCTGCTTATCAGTAGACCAAAAAAAAATCCAGATGTAAATTGTGTAATGAAATGCAAAATATTGCATTTCACCAAAAATGTCCATTTTAACATTTTTTCCTTGGATTTTCCAAATGCATTCAACAGACCTGCCAGTTATTCCTAACTGGGACCTGCCTAATGGCAAAGAAAAGAGAAACGCAGCAATACAGCAAACATAAGGGAAAGAAGACAAAAGAAAAATGAACAACAGGAAACTAATTTGCAGAAATATTCCTACTCAGGAGAAGCACATCTTTTAGGTAGAGCCTGAAGGAAGTGAGAGAGAAGGACAAGATGGAGAAGGATAAGTGAGACAAGAGCAAGAGGAACAAATAAAACAAAAAAGATGTAGGGTAAAAGAAACAAGGAAAAAGCAGAGTAAAAGGGTAGAAGAGTTTCTTGAATCTCCTCTGTGATAAAATTTTGCCTCATTATTCCAGTCTCAGTCATATTCTGTTACCTAACAAATAAGGGAAAAGCTTAAGGCCCCTAATTTGAATTTGAATACATTCCCACAACTTGAAGTCCACCCTGAACATAAGCTATCCTACTGTCTTATTTCAGAGGATACTGTGGGAAATGGTCTTAGAGCGAACATATAAAGACCCAACTAACACAGCTCCAGAAATTTGACTCTTGCTAGCCCTCTTGTACTTTCCCAACTCCAAGAAAATGAAAGTTTTGCATTTTCTTTTTTCCAGACTGCATTCGTACCTTTAGCCACACTTCTGGAAGTGAGGAGCAGACCAGCAGGTCTCTAGAAAGAGGACACCTCATTGGATATGACCCATGCCAGGTCCTTGCTTCCCTGTCAGCCCATGTCTGTCATCCCAGCTCTGCTGCATGCAACCAGCCACCTCCTAATTGCTTACCCACAGAAAGAGCTCAATGGGATCCCTATCACAGCTCACCCAGGAACTGCTCCAGAGATTTGACTCTTGCCAACCTTCATTACAAGTTCACAACACCATCTGATATCATTCTGAGAATGAAATTTGTATTTCTCCTTTTCTAGTGTATGCCTCAAATCCCACACATAGCAAGAACAGGCCAGCATGTCTCCAAGCAGTGACTTATTATTTCAAGACAAGCCAAACTCATCCTACATTTCCATTTCAGTCCCCCGAGGACTAGCAGGCTCTTCTCCAGGATTTCTTTCCCCTTGCTAGTCTCCTGTCAGACATTATTTTAGACACCTGAAATCTACCTGAGTAGATTCCATTTAGCTCTTGATGAATGCAGGTCTATCTAGCATCTCTCTTTTTCCAGACCCCCACTTTCTGTTTGAAATTATGTAAGTTTTTACGTTTCTTGGTTAAATAAGCCCCTTCTGATGTAAGAAGTATAAATAGAGACTATAGGCTTGATGACACTACCATAACACTCTTGGTGTCACACACGTTCTTGACAACATTCTCAGCCTGAGGTCTCATACCACCATGGGCAGACAGTTGTGTGATCCTATTACGAGGTTCCAAAGCGACATCAATAAGTGGAAGGTCTATTCTCATTTTTGTTGTAACAGCTCTGTGTATTTGCTACCTATGTATGTGCTGTCAGTCTCAATTCCTGTGGACCCATTTTAAATGCTGTTAAGACATAGGTCTGTTTTCAGATTTTTATTCTATTTGTGTTCTCAGAACACATTGTAACATTTCCTTTAATATCAACTCTATGTAGTGAATGCGCATTAACAGTCATATTCATTTACTGTATAACTGAGTTTATATAATTTAAATACAATACAGATACTACATTCATTAGAGGTCTACTGTAAAACAAAATTCTTCAAATTATGTAGTTACAGCTCTCCGAAGTTGAGCTGTTCTGTAAACTTCAGTGACAAATTCTCTATTTTGTACAAAGGGCTAATCCAAACTTCACTTCTGAGGATGTAAAAATACGGCCACTGAGTAGATTCCTCTGAGGTGGAGAAGAAACATTATAGGATGACAGTAAACTACCACATTTATTTATTTATTTATTTTTTCAACCTACTCCATGAATCAAGCTTCTTTCTGCTAAGTTCCAGCTCAGACTGGTCCTTAACACCAGGCTGGCTGGCCAAGCATTTTATAGCTAGTGCAGAAACTCTTGGATTGCAAAGTTCATCCATCTAAGTACAGCTCTAGAGAAAATGATCAAACAGGACTGTAGACACAAGAGGAAGAAGAAAGAGGGTGGTAAAATCAATGCTGCTTTTTTGTCCTCCTTCATACTACACCCTCATTCATGCAGATTCTTCCGAACTACTTCAGCCAAGTTTCAAATGGAGCAAGCACTTTCAGATGAGCAGTAAACCCCTGAAAGCCTGGATTTATAAGAGGATACTGTCAGAACCATACTTACAGCACTGCTAGCGGGTGCTGCCATAATCACATCAGATCACATTATAGATGGCTAAGAAGGTTTTGTGAGCCTGACCGTTGTGCCTGCCTAATTTACAGCGTTCCTGTCAGGAGGAAATCAAGTTTCATAGTTATGACATTTCTTTCTGGAGCACTAAATGTTAACTTTGCTGATCACGCATATTTTGGTAGAACAGCTTATTTCTAAATGGCAAACGTGATATAAAAAGCATAATGACTTCATTCAAAACTTTTATAGAGAGAGCAGCTGATTCTCACACCTATAGAAAACAGACTAAGTGGTATTTTAGTCATCTAAGGGTAGAAATAGATACACACTCAATATATTCAGTTTTCCCATTTTAAGTAATGTCATGGTGCCATAATTGCAGTCTATCTAAAACTAGTTATTTTTTGTACTTCTAATATGAACTTAAACAATGTTGTCATACAATAAAAGTATTATTATTGATAGATAACAGCAGCAACCCTTTTACAAGTTTCATTTCATACAAGGACTTCATCTTAATTGATAGTCATTCAGAGCTAGATGATTGTTCGTAATGGAAGGAAAGGACAAAGGCAGCCTCACACTCTGTAATAAAATTCACATACAGTCTCAGCACTTGGAAGAAATGAGAGAAAGATGCAGCATCACTTGACAGGTGAGAGTTACACCACAATGAATGCATGCACTACCTCTATCACACTGGCTACTGGTGTATTTTCCTCTACATCATGTAGAGGAAATAATTCCCACTAGAATTCTGGTGAGACCTGCTGTTGCTGTGGACTTATTGCATATCCCCTGTTGCAATTGTTGGGGAAAAATTGCTGTAAATGAGTAACTAACATCAGCTAGGGCTTGCTAAAGAGTCCCCCTAAAATCTAACTATTTGCAAAACCTGTAGTATATGTTATGAAGTATAAGCACTGTTTACAAACAAAATTCTCATCTTTATTTTGACATACTGGTAGCATTTAGACTACAGACAAAGCTTATGCAGTCTACTTGCTGCTACCAATATTTTACAGTTGTAGTTAAGTTACAGTTACCTCAAGAGGTCTCCTGAACGGTTAAAGGTTAGTAACTGAAACAAACAGAATCTCAATTAATTTCCAACAATTTCTAACAATTTAATGACTTGCATTAACTAAAACGTAGTTGAACATCAGATATGTTTCCCACTTAGTTAACAAGTGTACAGGCACCCTGATAAGGAGAAATTTTTATGGTTCTAATACAGATTAGCTCTATTCTAACAATTGTATTAGGATCTGTAATTACATTACATATTTGTAGATGAAGCAGAACATCTTATTTAACTTCTTGCTTGTACTTTCCTCAAACAGAAGCACAACCAGGAAGATAAGCTGTGGTGTACTATATGTAGTAAAAGCTCACTGCCTTTAGATTTTCTTAAAAGGTCACTGTAAACGTTTTTGTTAGCCACAGAAATCTCGTTTCATAGATGACTCTTACCTTTATAACAGAGGCCCCTGCCCTGGAAAGAGGACTGTGCATTTGGGCTGCTGCAGCCATGTTAGCTATTGTATTGAGGTGGTTCATCTGATTCATTGCCATTGCAACTGAAGCGGGAGGTAGGCTGACAGGTAGCAGAGGGTGGGGCATCATCATGAACGGCAGGTCTATCCCTAAAAGAGAGCACGTGCAAGTTATGTGTGTCAATCCCCCATTTTATATCCCTTAATTTTCAAAGTCTATATTTTACTGGAATATTGGCTAGCTGGACTCAATTCTATTGTGTGTTATTAAGTTTGAGGTTATGCAGGGAATAAATTCTGCATTCTAGAAAAGGCTGTACAGTTTGCACTGGGCCAAGAAGCACATAGATGTAAAAGCAATGCAATATTAGCAAAATTAATATATACTAGCACACAAGTTAGAGACATTTTTATTGATGTCAACAAAGCGAAAAAACAAAAATATGCAAATATCTGCATGTTTTCCCAATACAAGTGAAGAATATTCATTAATGATTTTAAGAAGTCCTCTAACTTAATTTACCTACGCAGCAATCTGAGACTAGTCTTCTGTATTAGGACTACTCCCTGACTAAAGAAAGCTGCAGAATGGACTACAGGACCACTGTACTACCATATAGGGCTGTGAACATGACTATGGGATGAGAGCAAATCATGACCAACTAAACGTCTTAAGATTCACTATAATTTATTTATAAGATAATCCATGCCAATATTAATGATGACACATACATCTCCCTTCACTTTAACCATACTGACAATCCCCTTCACTGCTTACATCCATAAGCCTTGGTTCCCTTGCATATCTCCTTTAACAGCCCAATAATCTCTCCTCATACTCCACAGAGCTCCAAAACTCCCAGACACCATCTGGTCACATTGAGTTGTATGTCTACTTAAAGTCCAATTGACATGCAAACTAAATGCAAACTACAAACAGAATTTAACAGCATATCACCAGTTTTAAGACACAATCCGTCAAACATTTTGGAAGACTATGAAGAAAATATAGCTTGCAAATCATTGGACATAACGTCTGACATTCAATAAGCTCTTTAACAACCTATAGACATTTGCCTACTACAATATCTATTGGAAAATAACCTGAAAGTTTTCTGAACAGTAAAGAACATTGTCCCTAATGCAAAACATGTACGGATACTCAATTATGCAAGAATATAAATGAAAGCATAAACCACAGTGTATGTTAGTCCTGTAACTTGGTGGTTCTTAACTACTGACATTTAACCAGATGCTCAGGCTCTAACCCTGCCATGAACAAAGCAATCATTTATTTTAGGAGCCTTTTAGATAATCCTGATTTTTTGAAGTTTGTGGTGCTACTTGGGTAGCAAGAAAGTATCTGCTCCAAAAATTTCATAAGGAGTCAGAAATGTCACTCGTCCACTGAAACAAACACCAAAAGTCAACTTTCAAAACTGAGGATGAAGAAATGAAACAGATAATAAGGGTTCACAGATAGTGAAATTTTAATTCTTCATCCATCACGATCTTTTACAATTGATTTTACTCTTCACTATCTTTTTAAATACTATTATCTGTTGTTTTCGGAACTGCTTTCTTGGAATAACTTAACAGTCCCTCCCCTTTGGGTCTAACAGAAGAGGTGATCTCTAACTTCTCACCTGCCCCCTTCCTAAAGGAAGGGAAGAAGAGAGGATTACAGTGAATTGAAAATTCCAAAACCAAACCTCAACTGTATCATTCTATTCCAGTTCTTTTGAACAGCTGGATTTAAGTGATGACTTCATATAAACCCGGTAGTTACAAGGAAAGACAAAGAAGAGGAATTTGCTTCTACACACTTTTCACTAGTCATTTTCCACCCATTCTTTGCTCTCTCATATTCACTTGGTGAGCAACATTTTCAGTTGGAAGAGAACTCACTAATATTTTAAGCAACTGTACTTGTTTTCAGGCCACAGCAATGCTGACTGGAACTCACAGCCCCTACCCAACAACAGATGGCCATTTAAAGGTAGTGGCTGTATCTCAGTTGAGTAATCACAGAATCACAGAATCACCCGGGTTGGAAGGGACCCCAAGGATCATGTAGTTCCAACCCCCCTGCCCAGCAGGGCCACCAAACATACACATTTAGATCAGGTTGCCCAGGACCCCGTCCAACCTGGCCTTAAACACGTCCAAGGACGGGGCATCCACAACCTCCCTGGGCAGCCCGTTCCAGGGCCTAACCACTCTCCTAGTAAAGAACTTCCCCCTAACATCCAACCTAAATCTTCCCTCCTTCAACTTAAAACCATTTCCCCTAGTCCTGCTGTTATCAGCCCTTTTGAAGAGTTTACTCCCCTCCTGGGTGTAGGTTCCCTTCAGGTATTGATAGGCTGTAATGCCTGCCTCCAAGCAGGGACTCCATATAACTTATTCTTTTCTCCCCATGAGGGTCCAGTACATACTGTTGGTAAGCAGGTGGTTCTGCTGAAGAGGACTGAGTGGGTGTGCACTTCCAAGGCTCGACTGTCCTGACAGGGTGGGATGACCAATGCTGTGCTGTGATCCTGTTGTAATGGGAGACTGAAGCTTGTCTTTATCCCAGGAAGATTCACTCCCACCTGCAAAACAGGATATAAAGGGACCACAAATGGCATATACTCTTTTAAAAAAAGCAGTCTGCTTTGTTAGTGACAAACTAATACTCTTTACCACACTTAAGTGCTTAGCACAAACACAGCACTTGAAAAAAATAAAGATTAAGAAATATGAATTAGGCAAAAAATATGATTAAGAAACTTCAGTATCTCCTACTTTCATACCAGCAGCGTCTGAAAGAGAAAAAGCTAAACGTTTAAGGAAAAAATTATCAAAGTAAGCATCAGACACTGGATCACAATCTCCTGTCAGAGGGAATCAGGCCTGCCAGGGACTAACAGATGTCTATCAGTGTTGTTAATACTAACCAGAGAGTGGCTCCACTAGTCACTCCTTCAGTGGTTACAGCCCTCCTAACTTTTAGCTCAATGACCTGAACAGGTTACAGCAATTTATCCCCGCCATGTTATCTGTAAGCTTTAGTAGCTTTTGCTCCTCTGCTGGGCTTGACCCAGAGATGTTTTGCTGGGTTAGCAAAGTCAGGCATTAGGCAGGGCTTGGAAACTATCAAGATTCAAGATGTCGAGTTCAGACACCTATAACGCGCAGCAATTATGATCAGAACAACAACAACAAAAATATAGCACACTGAACACTCGTCTGTTTGGCCAGGAATATCTGTTTGGTCTTCTGAAGATGCTGTGTTTTGCAGCAATTTTACAGACGGTAGTTTTCTTTAGTATTACATTTATACACGTGAATAACAAGAAGCTCCTTTTAAAGAGCAGTTAAGTAGACCATGAGAGTGAATTCCAAAACACACACCTGGTCCACAAAGCAAACCACCTTAAAAATCAGGCTGAACAGTTTTAGAGTAAAAAGCTATTCCAGATACACTCCTTTCTTAGCTATATCCCATGTTTTCAATTAGATGGATTGTTATGAAAATATATAATTGATTGTAATTGATGTGTATTGATTTTATTTTGATTTTATGAACAAGAATTTCGATTAGAATAAGTAGCAGATTACTGTGATTAAAGGAGACTGTGGTAGAAAGCAAAAGGCACTTAAATTGAAAATGAAAGTAACAGAAATTTTCTACATTTTTATGACAACACTCAGATAATAAACATGATTAATACTGCTAAATGCAAAAGTTTGAAAGATCAATGAATGAGAAGAAAGGTAATCACTCTATCATTTTATCACTATGTCCATGTGTGAATTACCTTCCTATAAAAGATTTGTAATTTGCAAAATGATGAGTCATAACTGACAAAAAAAGATACGGTGAAAAATGGCACGTGATGTAATATAACATGGCACAGTGTGGTAATTAGAAGCACTACTGCAGTTAAAGCTCTTTCAGCATTCTCATTATTTAATATCCAGTACAGCTGCACTTTTAAATAACATTTAACTAATATTTAGTGTAGAAGTTGTTCACTACAACCATGGTCAAACAGAGGTACTAATTAGTGAAGTATTTATCAACCTCAAACCTGTAATTTGAAGAACAGTTTTTTAGTTTTGTTTTGGGGTTTTTTTTTTGTTCAATTTTAGGAAATAAATTTTATTTTTCTCTATATACTTTCTCAGAATTAAATACACTTCTTTCTCAAAAAACAAACAAAACAAGGCAAAACAAAAAAAACCACCACAAACAACAGACATGAAAAGTTCCATGGCATGAATCTTCTGCTTATAAACTGATCTTGCAAATGCAACTTCCCATATCAAGGCAATGGCCATGAGAACTGCATATAAGACAGTTTACCAGAGATTTTTGAATGAAGAGTCAAAATTGTACTCTTCACCTAAAAGCTTCCCTCACCCCATCTGTTTTCTTCCAATACTTCCAATCACAGGCACAGACACTCTACATTCTTGGCTCATTTATTTACTCATTCCTGGAAGCATTAAAGTCCCATGCATCTCCCACACTTCTGTGGACCTGACACTGCAGTACCAGAGCCCAACTGGATTTCTGGGTTAAGCTGAATGTACTGGAGGAAAGAACAATTCTACCTACATGGAGAAAAGCGACTTCTTTAAGGAAGCACAGGAAATCTGCCAGGAAACAAGAAACCAAATTTAGGTTCTGTCATACAGTCCAAATCATCAGATCAGGTCTCCTTACAAATGTGGACAACAATAACGTTTGTTTTTTTTTTTTCCTGGAAACTCCACTTTTAAGTCTGCTCCTGTATTCAGTGCCAGCACCAGAATAAATTGCAGTACACTTATATCTACAGATCACTCCTGTGTTCTTATGTTCTCCATCACTCTTTCTTACAGAAAGAAAAAACAGTATTGCTGAGAATATGATATATAATAAGAGTGTAATATAATAATCTTAAGTGTATCCTATAGTCTTCCATACACCACATAGGTAACTGCTTCATCTCTTAATCTGCATTGCATATACTATGCAGTAGCAAGTCCCTTAAATTGAAAGAAGTATAATTACTTCTTAAACACTGGCACATTTTGTAAGGGCAGTAAGATTAATTATCTCCAACTTACAAGTGGAAAAGCTGAGCTTTCCCAGTTCTGTGGAGCAGCTTCTTCCAGGTATGGGAGACAAATGGTGAAATGATAAAAGAGAAGTCAGGTCTCACGGGTCCTACTCTTGCTCCCTCACTTTTAACTCATCCTGCCTACAGTGACTTTGCAAAGACAAAGATAACAGCTTCAAAAGAAAACTTGCAACCTTCCCTGCAGTACCTACTCCCATATAGTAAGAAAAATTTACATAGAAATTAACAGGAATAGGAAAGATATATCAAGAAGAAAGCAAACATACAACACAATTAGGAAAAACAGAAAGTGAAAACAGCGATTTCATTTATTTTGCATCTTGTGTATAAGGGGAAAAAGATTCTATTTACTTTAAATAAGAAAAGTTACTAATATTTTAAAATTTCTGATTTAATATTCTGATTTGTGTCATAAGAGCATTAACAGAGCCCTCAGAAGTCTGCTCATTTGTCAAAATGCCAATACATCATTTCTACACTTTACAAAAAGCTTTATGTTTAACACTATTACCCACTATCCATATGACCTTCTCTCCAACAGATAAAACTAAAGGACAGAAAGGTAATTTTTCCTTATCTTGTTTGCATTCTAGTCGATCTTGTCCCAGAGCAGATTGTATTCAGCATTAAGAAAGGGCAAGAGAGACAAGAACCTCCATCTTCCAGGGCTCCTGACACTTATCAGAAGCAGGCACAGAGCCTGCAGTCTCCTTAAACACAGACACACCAAACTGGAAAGAAGGCAAATGTCCAGCCATCCCAAAACATTATAGTATGCACTGACTTGGCAGCAGAAGCTAAAGAAGATCTCACCTGCTTCAACCACCCAGTTCAGGTCATGCAGAAAATCTGGTGCGCAGTTCTTATTATGCTTTTCAGATTGACAGATAAATGCACAATATGGAGGGTGAAAAAAAGGCCTAGTAGTCTGCATTGCACACAGTCACCTATATAGTCACCTACAAAGAAACGTAGTGCGTGTTTTGAAGGACACAGATAACGACAGAAACTACATGAATTTGGTAAGAGAAGGAGTTACTAACTGAAGTCTTCACTAGTCCTAAGAAGTTATTTGAGAGAGCTTATTTATCAGTGCATGAATTACAGTTATGTTCAACAAAGCAAACGCAAAACTAATGCAACAAATCCCAGTCCATTCACTCAAAAATTACGTGGTATGAGGCAAGCATTCCCTTAACACCATTTCACAGCCCAGTGGACAAATTCTGAACATCTCTGCTTCTGAATCCCTAATTAACAAATGAACATGGGATTCAGATGAGTTCATTTACATAGGGATTCAAATCACAGGTAACACAAATACAGGAAATCAGCCCAAGCCATACATACATATATGTACTGTTGGTCTTGTACTCACAGATCTGCCATGCAGTGTATGGTTATGTGCAATCACATGCGGGTCTGTGAACAAAGAGCCTCTGTTCCAGTTTCATTTTGTTTAGCTGAAAGACATGCAGGTGATAAGCTCCTGGTTTCCTGAAAACGCTGCTTCCTGTCCGTCTTTGACTTCAGCAGTTCTATACCATAACAATTCAAGCTTCGTGTTTTCTAGCAACCCACCTCTACTTCAGAATAAAAACCACTTCTTTTTTTTGGTGAAGATCTATTTGGGAAGATTAAATTAGTGTCTTAGTTTTAGGTACTGAAAATCTCCAGAAAGTAATCGAAGCTCAACTTGGTGACAGTTTCCTTTCATTTGGTTTCAAATTCATTTTATCAGCCTTAAACTGAGTGTTCTACCTAAATGAAACCCACTGTCAGAGGTACCTTTGAATTGAACAATCACACTGCTTCAATCTATGTCTGTCGTTTTATTTTTTGTTGATATATTTCTGAAAAATTGAACCCAAATTGTTAAAAACAATATCATTTTCACTGTCCAATTCTATTCTAAAGCTATTTTTAAGCACATTTTTCATGCTACCAGGCATAGTAAGCCTAAGATCAGCCAAGAAGAGCAAATATTCAGAGTGCTATTATTTCAGCACTGATAGTATCAAAGTATTTAACGCCAATGGTAATACGAATGTCCAGCATTCATACGTTCTGTGAATTCTTCTGGCTTATCTAGAAATCCAGTACCCTTAAACCACTGTGGGCCTGTTTGCCAGTATTTGTACCTAGTGTTCTTCAGCTGTCCCATGCAATTTGACTTTACCCACACCCTAGTCTTGCCTTGATACAGGGAAAGACAGTCATTGCAAAGAACATTCTCCACTGAAAACACTTCAGTCTGCAAGTTTTTGTCAACTTTTCCCATGGTATGAGCATGTGAGTGTCTAAGAGGAAGATTACATATCAGACTAGTTTTTCAACTCTGTACGATAGAATGACAGCTCTCAAAGGCAACAAGAGCTCCAGTAGTGTCTGTAAATGTTTTAACAGTATATAATAATCTCCATGATGGAAAGTACAGCTGATAGCTCCATTAGTTTCAATACAGACATACAGTTATTATT